AAACTATGTGAAAAGAATAAAAATTCTCTTCGTTTATAGTTTGGCTCAAAAATGTCCTTACCATCAAACTATGTGAAAAGAATAAAAATGCCCTCTGTTTACTCTTTGTATTATATATTAATATTTTGTTTGGTATATTTTTTTAGTGTATATTTGGTACATTTTTTTTAGTCTATGCGTACATTCTATTGTTATTGATGTATGTATTACTAATACTATAAATTTTCATGTCTTAATAATACAAAGGGTTTCAACACATACATTAGATTGATTAATCATATATATACCCCTCAAATCCCTCTCAAAACATTTTCCATTAAAAATGACAAGCATAAAATAGAATTTTCATAAGATAAAGCGAGATACTGATTATTTCTCAAAGTTAAGAGGGGGGAGGGGGGGGATTGATTTATAAGCCAAAGTTTGAGGGTGTAGAAGATTTTCACTCATTTTCTTCTTAGTTCGTTTACTTTCTAAAATTTTGAGTCAAATTAAAATAGGACAAATAAATTGAAACGAAAATAGGGTTAGTTATAATGTAAGAACGTTTAGGGCCTACCATGTTAGGGTAACATGCAAGAAGCGGACATTACGACCCCTAGTATATCCGTACGTCATTATCATATCTTAGGGTGAGGAAAAAAATACATTATTATCATTATTATATATTAAGCATGATTTTTGAAAAATCCAAATATGAATAGACTTCTGAATATATTTTAAAGATGAATAGTTATAATAGCTTACTATAGATGCCCCGGTTGGTAAATGAATTTTTTTAAGAGAGTTTTTTGAAAAAAGAAAAAAATGAGAAGTTGGAGTTGGAGACGTCCAATAATTACTACAATTTTTTTTCTTGCCCTAAGATATTTTTTGTCCTTTTCACGTTGAGAATATATGAAAGTTGCATTTTGGGATTTACAATTTCCATAAAGTTCAATAATATTTTGCCTTAACTCAGTTTAGTTAGTTAGAGACACATTTTCAAAATGACTCACAAACTTAAACTAGAGATAAGTTGATGTTAAGTAAAACAAATATATATATATATATATATATATATACGCAATAAGATTATATTAATCTAAATTCATTAAGCTTTAGATCATGGACAGTAATATGAAGTTATTCTCTATTTTTTGAAAAAAAGATAATAATAAAATGAAATTAATTCAGAATTGACGTCTCATGTCAATTTCATCAGCAATTATTGTTATACTATTATATTCGAATAAAGTACTTTTAATTGAAATAAGTTACAATACGACTATATTACCGGCTGAAAAAGGGAAGAATACATGGAGATCATGACTATTGAAGTATCACCAAGTGGGAAAACCAAATGATTAAAACTTAGGTTTGTAATAATGAAAAAGCACAAAAAGGTCATGTGTATTTCATCCAAATGTTATTAGGTTAGGAGCCAATACCAAGTGAGAATTATCCCTTTGTTTCTACTAACTAATTGTGAGCCATATATCTCCCAATTGAAATTCAATAACATGGCAAATGGACCCTAACACAATGTACCTTTCTACAAGAGGGCCTTGCCTCCTACTATACAAGAAATGTGTCCAATAGAGATTCAAGATACAAGACACAATTTTACAAATAGTGGATGTTATTTAATGACATGGTCACTTAGAGCATCCACAAAAGTGCCCCACACTTGATTTTCTATATCATAAGTGTCTTTTCTCTACCTTTGCCATGTGCAATTATGTGGTCTTCTTATTTCTTAGGGTATTTTTGGTCCCATTGTGTGTGCTAGAGTAGTTACTAGTGTATTTTCATAGTCATTTTTATGAGAGGGAAATAATGAATGTGAACCTTATATTATTTGAAATAAATATGGAGTGAAACGTGATGTGCCTTTCAGAGTTAAATGCTAATTGGGACTATATATGTGACTCAACGTAACAAATCGTTTTCGATTTATACTAGTATGTTGGATTTATCCACTTTCATAATAGGCACGTAATTCATTATTGTATACAACATAGCGATAGATGAAAAGAGAATTTCATCTCAAGTTTCTCTTTTAGGTCTAGCTCCTTATCCTATATAACCAATTATTACACTTTATATTTAATTTTATAATCAAGCCGAACCAGATAATGCAATGTAATACCTAGCTAATAAAAAAAATGTATATAAACCAAAGATTTCTTGTTCCTACTGTTTGAATTTGAAATCTTTAATAAAAGTAAAATAATTTTATTCATCACACCTGTTACACTTTCATTTTCGCACCTCTAGTTATCTTTCCTAGTTCAATAATCATAATTCATAAGAAAGTACGTAGGAATATTTTCTTTTATTTATTATTTCCTCCGTTTCTTTTTAATTGTCATGTATATTAAAAATATTTGTTTCAAAATACTTCCTCCATTCCTATTTATATGTCGTCCTTACTAAAAATAGATGGTCCTAAATATTTGTTATTTCATAAGTCAATGCATAAATAACACTATCCTTCCTATTTTACCCCTTGAAAGTTATTATCCTTGAAAATATACATTTGTCCAACATAAGAAAACAAAGTAATTGATTCATGTTTATTGGTCAAATTAGTTAATCAAAGTAAATTAATTCATGTTCATTTATTGAAAATTTGACTTCAAGAGAACACTTAATAAGGGTACGATGATAAACTTACATAATTTTTTAAAGGATATGAAACCTAAAATGATAACAACTAATAGGAACGGGGGGAGTAGTTGTCAATTTAAATAATCAAGAGAGGATTCATTGGTTAAACAATACTCCTTTTTAATTTTTCTTAAGGGTTGTGTCAAATGTTATCAGTTATCATGACAACTAAAAAGGAATGAAAGAAATATATTTTTTTTTTAGGAAAAAGATATTAATGCTTAGGTTTGTGGATTTTTTTTTTTTATTATTGGTCATGGAATTACGGTAGATATATGTCACTCATCCATGACATGCCCCATAAATCATAATCACAATTCACAACTTACAGGAAAATGAAAAGCTACAAGTCAATTGGTTTTTCTATCTATCATATTTGAAGTGTAATTCTCACCAAGTCCTTTTTTCTTTCTCTTATCCAAAGCCTTCCCTTTCACACCCCAAAAAAAAGAAGTAGAAAATGGTTTTTTTTAGTAGTCTCTCCATTATTCACAAATTTTAGGATTGTCTAATTACAAACAAAAGCACTTATAATTAACAGAGAAAAGATAGATAAATTAATAATAAGGGTTATTTGCAAAGGGAGGAGAGAGACGAGCGAGAGAGGGTAGAGAGACTAATTGTATTTGTATATCTGTCATATATTGTATATAAATGTGTATAATTTGTATTTGTATATGTATAAGCTACGTAATTACAGCTAAAATTAAGCTGCAAGCCGTACTTAATTCAAACTATGGTTATGTTAGCTAATTAACTAGTATATGTTTGCTTATCCGCGTAATTTTTCCTAAATTGAATAGTTATGTTTCTATTTTCCATCATAATAGAGCGGGACAAGTTTCTGGATATCTTTCAATGGCGTGATGAAATGTTGTTAGATACAAAAATACTTATTAGACTTTGAGAATCAAGTAGCTTATTTGTTGGAGTTCGGCCCCAAAACATTCTTTTGATATGTGTTTTTAGGAAGGATCCCTTTTGGTACGTTGTGTCCAAAAAATGTTTGTTTTGAGACCGCACTCTTATTGTGGATGCACGAATTCTGTAAACCAATAATGAAAGAATGGTTCCTGAACAACAATTTCCACATAAATGATTGATATACAATGAGAATCTCATGGCAAATGAGTGTCTTTTTACATAAATCAAAAGCTAAAAAAAGAAAACGAATCTTCTGGAAAAGAACAAAAATATAACAAATACAAAAGAGAAATTTCACCATCTTCCACTCTATGAGAAAATTCTAAGTAATCTCTTCCATTCAACATTGTTCAGATATGGCATGTCATCTTTGTATCTTCAGCTTTCAAGGTCCTCCAGAATTGTTAACTGATGAGGCGTTAAAAGAGAAATCTCAACCATCATCCATCTGTATACCTCCAATTCAATCCTATCCAGAATTATATCCATCAGTAGTCTTTCCTCTATTGCATTCCCTCTGTGGAGGAATCTGAAGCTATCTCCCTTGATTTCTATCTATTACATACAAGTGGCTCAACATTCAGGCGCTCAAACAAAATAGTTTACCTAGCTGATAAACAGTGGAGCCTGCATTTATGCATAGGTAGGGGTAGGGTAAGGTCTGCGTTACACTCTACCCTCCCCAGACCTCACTTGTGGAATTACATTAAGTATGTTATTGTTAGTCCAGGCAATGAAATGAAGTGAAAAACATGTTCTACAACTCAGTGGCAAGAGAAACCGTAGGTAAGAAACAGGGGAAGTTTACAACTAATACAATGAAATAATTTATCAGTACAACTTATGGAGCCATAATTAGTTATTCAAGACTAGAGTGAAGTAGTTCACACACTAAAAAATGCAACAACACAAAGACAATGACACTGCAACACCGAGAAGTGGTGACAGTGGACAACCTTCCTATAAGCGTTACATGAATAAATCACAAGGTCTGGTTCAGATTAAGAAAGGAAACTGAACAGAAACAGAAATATCTCATGACCTGTTAAACCTAAACTCGAGTCTAATGGGACAAATAACTAATCAAAATTTTTTTAAGAATAATGAAGTTCCTACGGTTTAGTAACACGTGTCAGCCTATGGACAGTTTAATAAATATGGTTGGGAGGGTAACGCACAAATTGGCAACTCAATTAGAATATGTACTACTGGTTTCACTGGTGGAAAGGGAGGGGGCTTCACTCTTTATAAGATGAGAACCCCTGCTACTAATATCAAGACCCTGAAAACGACCGAGGGGATCTTGTTGCGTTGCGTCTGCCAGAGCCTGTGCGCTGCCCGAAAGTAGAGGGTGACACAGATTAGACATGCTGCCCTGGAGGTGGTGAAACTGTGGCATCTGTATGTTCTGTGATTTGCTTGACCCTGGATGCGACTGATGAGGAAAGAATGCTGGTCGGTTATATTGAATTTGCTGCATTCCTGAATTGTATGCATCTGAGGAAGCTGATATCTGCCCTGTAGCTATTTTAAGTCTTTCAACTTCCTGTTTCAGTGCTTCGTTCAGAGCTGTAAATTTGGAATGGCACGAGAAAGATTTGCACAACATCAGTAGTTGCTCTATCACAGATGAAACTTTTATATTATCTCAGTGTAGAGGGATAAGGTAAGTCGTTTAATATTAGATTTTATTTGTTCAGTCCATCCTCCAGGCAAGGAGTTTATAAGTAGCTGACAATTTTGAGATGGAAGGGCAAAATGACTATTTATACCAAAAGACAATATTGCAACAGTGCAGCGGAAAGCAATAGCATACCATCACGTAATTGAGTTTGATGTTCCATTGCTTGCAACCGGAGCTTAAGCTCTGTATTCTCATTAGTTAGCCCAGTTGTATCCCTCTGCCGAAGTTTACAGACCAAAAATAACCAAAGTTGTGGAATAAGTTGTATGTTTCTGCAAGTACCTAGAGATTTTAGAACTTAGAACCAAGTTCTATAAAAGAAAGAAGTACCTGGAAAAGGGTCAGTTGTGTAGAAAGAGTGGTCGCTTCTGCTTGAAGGGTCTGAACTTTTCTCTCAAGTTCAGATATATAACGGGCCTTTCTCTCTTTAGAACGAGCAGCAGACTGCCGATTTGCCAAAATCCTGCGCAAAATTCTCAAAGTCAGAAAAATAGCAGATCTGAACTTAAGAATTTCTTCTCTATTTCTTCCCTTATCAATACATGTATACTTCAGCAAACTTACAAAGTGATACTATGCATTTCATCTCAATAGCATAAATTGTTCATGTAAGTTGATCATTAACTGATAAGTGATATGGTATATGTATCTATATGTAGCATTTTGACTTAAATTTTGTCTTTGGATGCAAGTGAAACTCTTGTTTGCACATACTCATTGTGGAGTGCTGGAGATTCTTTTTGTGCTATAGGAGCATGAATTCCTCTTTGGAGTACACGTGCTTCTTAGACAAGATGCGGGTTAGTATTCACATAAGTACTTGCAATAAGAACTCTGAATTCCATAGCTTCGTTTTGGATAGTTAAAGCTCCGGGATGAAGCTTTGATAGAAAGATAAATCTGGGGCACACAATGGTTCTTGGTGAGAAATGAAGAATTACCAACTTCAGACCCCAAAATCTGGTATTTATCTCGTTTACCTTGTGTCCTAATTGTTCTCCATGTAACATACATAAAGGTTTGTGATCAATGTTCTAGTTTAAGAACACATTGGAGCTTTTGATTAAAAGCTTTGGTTTGACTCATCTAGGTGCTTTGTCGCCCTTCTTTAGATAACTGTGGTGTTTGGGCCAGCTTTCGCGCACTTTGACTAATTTCATGGGATACCTATCACCTCCCACCAGCAATAGGTTTCAGGTAACTCTGCCCATTAAGGCTATAACATATGAGAAGAAACCAAAGACGTATTCAAGATTTCAGTAAGATGGTGCACGATTACGAAAAAATGCATCTAAAATATAAATTTGATCGGTTTGACTTTTAGGTTCTTAATATGAACCATTAAATTTTAAAAATTAAAGGTCAAAAATATATAATACTACTAATTTTAAATTTTAATGTACACATATAGTTTAATTATATAGAAAATTTACCATGCTAATTTTTTAAGACTTTTTGATGTAACACACTTGAAAATTTTGAAAGATTAAAGAAAAAAATAAAAGAAAAATTAATTGAAATGCCAAAAGTGTAATCGATAACCATTTGGAGAGGTGTTATTCAAAAAGACAAGATAAATACTAAGATTTAAATTTATATCCTCACCTAGAGAAGTGCATCAATCATCATTGTATTATTATATGATACTTTTTTTTTACCCTCCCTAGGAATTCCACCCCTTTTGCTCCATTGGTGACTCGAACTCGCAACTTTCGGGTTGAAAGTGAGGGGTGTTTACTATCCGAGCAACTCCCTCTCGTCTATTATATGATACTTTTAATGTGAGTTGACACATCTATATTTAAATATTTTCTTAAAAAATATAACACTACTATATATAATCTAGAGAGAAGAGCATGAGTTCACGTGAACCCACGGCACCCCCTCTAGATACACCATGAAAAGAAATCATCTAGTATTTTTGTCTCAATTGAAAATTGAATTTGAGACCTCATAATGCTCAATCCACGTCATTGATCACTAAGTCACCCTGGTGCTTCACTGCCCTTCTTTCTACTGTGTGCGCTTTAGCATTTGTATATACTTGCTTCAAAGAAATTTCTACTTACTCTGTGACTGTGTGTATGGGTTTAGTAGCTGCCCTATTGAGTTCGAGTGTTCTATAATACTCAATACCAAAAACGAGTAAGAACAAAAACATGACATTCCTCATTCACTTCGTTCTTCAGCAAAGCAGTGAAGAGAGAAAAACAACTTGATTAGCTTCATAATCTTCTTCAATAGAAATAATTTTATCTGAAAATTCAGATCCATGAAAAGAAAACAGGGGCATAAGTTAACAGAGAAGAAAAAAATTTCGGCGAGGCGAATCAACGATCACTTAGCATCTCCAACCCTATCCTTTATTTTACTATATAAATATAGAATTAATATTATATTATTATTTCTATTTCAATTTTATTTTTTCGTATTTCATAATATAAATCATGTCTTCTTTTTGTAAATAATTACCCTATAATCTATATAATCTTCGTGTGATATAAATTTTATTCTTTTCAATTTTTTCATTAAATATAAAATTATATTTTATTCTAAATTTCTAAATAAAATAAAGTACAACGAATATTATGTATAATACATACTAACAATCAATTCAAATAAAAGTGAAATCATAGATGAAATACAATTACATAATAAATAATGCATTATCGTAAAAATTAATTTTAAATTTTACATAAATACTCGACTTTCAAGATTGTTACGTTGCTCCCATAATGCTCTATTAATGCATTGCAGAGTTCAAAATGAGTAATTTTTTGTCCATATTTTTTATGTGTAGCTAAAAATTGTTTAAATCAACAATTTCATCTTATATCCAATTATTTCGTGTACTAATTTACTTCCCCTATTCCATTTTGAACTATTGTAAAGAGTATTTTCATGCTCATTAAAAAGTGTAGTTTAATAATTTATCACTGTAACATAAAAGTAAGTTGTTTGAATTATCATGTAGATTTTGCGTATTCTTCATAGTGAAAAATAATTATAATTTTAAATTAAATACTTAAAGTGACAATTTTTTTAAAATAAAAAAATTAAAAAAATTGTTAATTCGGGATGAAAATAGTATACTTATCAATAGTATGTTTTTTTTAGATGTTATATTACTTAGAAAATAATTCAACAATTAAAGACTTAATTAATAGCCTCATATAATATAAATAATATTTAAAATAATTTGAAATTACATATTTAAAGTGACGATTTTTTAAAAATAGATTAGAAAATTATTAATTCAGATAAAAATAGTAACTTGTCAATAATATGTTTTTAGATGTTATATTATATTAGAAAATTAATTATAAATAATAAAGACTTAATGGATGCTACAATAGAAATAATACTAAAATAATCAAAAAGTGAAATAGAGAGGTGAATAGTAATTCTTCAAATTTGGAGAACTACTATTCACATCTCTGTAAATGGAGGATAAAGAGTAATATAGAGGGGGGGGTTGGAGAGTCCATTCTCTATTTTACTCTCTAAATATAGATAATAAAAAGTAAAATAGAGATGGGTTGGAGATGGTCTTAGTAGTATGAGTGTCAAATGGACGGGTTGGGTTGAAATTGAAGATATTAAAATGGGTTGAAATAGAAATCGATTTGGGTCTTGACCCGCCCAAGTTTACTTTGGGCTCAAATGGGCTAGAAAACGAGTTGGGTCTTGACCCGCCCAAGTTTACTTTGGGCTCAAATGGGCTAGAAAACGAGTTGGGTCTTGACCCACCCAGACCTGATTAATCTCAATAATTATAATATAGTAATATTTAACTTTTATAATCACAATTCGAATTTCAACTCAAGATTTTCTTTTTAAAAAGTAACAAATGGATAGATAAATCCTAAAAAATGTTAAATAGATAATATTTCATACCTTTAATATATGAACATATCTTAGTAAAGAATTTTAAAACATATTAAAATTGGAGATTGAATTAGGCTCAATTGAGAATTTTCTTAAAATGGGTTAAATTTGAATGAGTTGAAATTGAATTCAATTCAAATTATTTTGAGCTCAACCCTTAAAATTCTGGATGAATCGAACATGATACCTATGTTTGTGTTCATTTTTGACACCCCTACTTGGTAGGAAAACAATATAAAACAGAGTTGATCAAGTTGATAATCATCACAATTTAAAAGGTACCTTTTGGCACGTTTTGGATCAATAGTCCATAGCTCAGCCAATTTATCAGGAGCCATAGCTTTCTTAGCTTCAATACTCTCAGTCATCAACAAACTTGAACTATCGACAGAATTACTATGCCTATGACGTGGCCTCTTCTCTCCATCAGCAGCAGCATCGATATCAGTGGGATTAGATCCACCGGCGAGCTTCTCAATATCCATATAAGTAGAGAAGAAATCATCCTCCGACCCGATCTCCTCGAAACTTCCGGCAGGTGCATCGAATGGGTCGGACACCAGATCTAGATCCTCCGGCAACCGGAAATTCACCTCCGAGTGAGCTCGTCGGTGGTGAGATGGACGGAATGCAGTTGAAAAAGACGTTGTCGTCGGCAACTTGATGGAATTTGGATTTGACGGATCTTGCATTTTCGAGTGAAGAGAAAAAGCTCAGAAAAAATGAAGTTGATGGAGAAGAAGATTGATACAGTTAAGTAAGAATAATCAGCTTGAAGCGGTTCGTTTTGACTTTTTTAAGTAAAAAAGCTTTAACTTGATTTGCGAAAGAAAAAGGGATTGTGGGTCCCACTGTATGGAGAGCGTAATGATTTCATCGGACTTGGCTCTGCATGGGCTTCGTCCCATTTCGGTCCGCCAAAAGGATAAGAGAAAATAATGATAAAATAGTAATTTTGGTTCTCAAATCATTGTTTTTTTTTGGGAAATTACTTAAATATACTATATTAAATACCAATATTTACTATTTATATCAATAACATATTTTATTCATTTAATCACTTTTAATAAACAATTTTAATACATATATATTATAGAGAATAATTTATAGAACATATATAACACACGTTTTATTGATAAATTATACATTTATCACACATTTTAATATACTTATAATACAATTTGTCAATTTCTTACCAAACAAGCATAACACATTTTATTAAAAAAACAGTTATAATACATAAATATTGCATACATAATTCACTTTTAATACATATTGCAGATTTATTATAGTATTACTATAAATGATAATAAATAAAAAGTATCGCTAGAATCAATAATTATTTATTAAAAGATACCCTTCCAAATAATTTTTTGTTGTTTTATTTCGGTTGTAATTCTTGTGTTTATATGCTTTAGTATATTTAATCTTCAATTAATTAAAATATTTTATTTTAGTCCATAATAATGTTGATAGATTTGAGGATTATTATTTAAAGTAACATATATATTTTTTCTAGGTTATCCTTTTATTTCTTCTAACACCCCGTTGTTATCTTCTTTTAGGAGTAAACATTTGATCTACTGTTAGAATTGTTTTATTTGAGATTGACGAGATCTTAATGTACTTACTTTTACCTATTTTTTTTGCTTTTAGTAAATCTTGCATCTTCATTGAGATAATATATAACTATGTTTCATGGTGTTAGTATCTAAAAAAATTGTCATTTTCTTCATAATTGGTTGTGCATTTAATATTGGCTCATACTTCACCTTCAAAGGTGAAAAGAATCGATTTCCACACACGTCTATTCAACAAATCACAAAATTATCTTGCATTTGTTTGCCTCTAACTCTTCGCTTGTGTAGAGTGTATTAAATACTTTGTGTTCTTAATCAAAACTTTTTAATATTCATTAATCGTAGGGACTAAAATAACACATTTTAATTAATTGAAGGTTAATGTACTAAGTCAAATAAGTCAAATACCAGAAGGATCAAAATTGCAACGTGACAACAACTTGAGGACCAAAATTGCTATTTAAATTTAAGAAATAACGTATTTAAAAGTTGTTATTACTAGTATTAAGATAACTTTTTAGTTTTCGATCCATCACATTAGATTTCTAACAATATGTAATAAAAAAAATTAAAACGATATTTTTCTAAACAAGAATTAAAAATTAAAAAAAAAAGGAAAAACGAAATAAAATAAGTCCTAACATAATTGACAAGGAGAATTGCTCGGATGGTAAGCACCCCTCACTTCCAATCTGAAGGTTGCGAGTCTTGAGTTCTGAAGGTGATTAGGGCGTCATGCGGAAGCTTATAATTTGCAAATCATATGGTTGACAAATCAGACGGCACATAAAACTATACTAAAAGAAATATATTATTATATGATATAACCAATTGGCCTACATAATTGTAACGACCCTCAAACTGAAGTAGGATAAAGTAGAGCCTCACATGGATTTTATGCAGTAATAACTTGTTAAAATAATGAAGAATAGCCTTTTTAGTAAGTTTTAAAGAGTTTGGAAGTCAAACGTCAAGGGACGACCAAGACGTTCAGAAACTAGTATTTTACGTGTTGGTGTGTTCTAGTATATTGTTCATGTTTTCATGTGTTGTTTGGAGTCAAAAATCAGTGGAGGTGACCCTAGTGTCTTAATAAATATTTTTAAGGTCAAAACATTCGGGTACGACTCCCCGGGACCACCCTAAGGGTCCCCGAGGAGGACCCCAATCCTTGGCCAAACAAGCTGCCAAGGCAGCTTGAAGTTGTGCATGGAGGGAGTGGCTCCACGTCGCGGACCTGCTCCACCAAGGGCCAAAAAGTTTGCATTACGGACACATCGCGGACTCTACTATCTCGTAATTTAATTTCCAGAAAGTTGTGGGAACACCTCCGCGTCGGGAACTTGTTTCCCGACAAAATCTGCGAAAATAAAACTCAAGTTTGACTAGTTTAAAAGGTCCAACTAAGTGAGGGATAGTTTGGGTACTTTGGGGAATTATTATAAACGGTTATTCTACCTATTTTAGGGTATTTTAAGTTGGTTAAGACCCCAAAACCTAAAATTAGACCCCATTCTTCAAATTGACCCTTCCCTCTCAAAATAGATTCTCTCAAAAACCCCATTGAAGACCTTGATGAAGCTCAAGCTAGAAGATGGTTTTCCAACTAATTTCTTCTTCAATTTCATGTCTCTTCAATAATTAAGGTATGGTAACTCTTTATTCTGGAATAACCTCTCATTCAAGGAGTTCTATCAAAGATTTCCAAAAGTGATTCAAAGACCAAAATTCTCAATTTTCAATCTAAACATGGGTCCTTTGTCAAATGATTTTATAAATCATTCTATTGATGAATTAATGTGGAATTAAGGTTTTTAAGACAATTTTCAAAGGAATTCTTGAAGAACCCATGATCCCCAAATTCTCAAAAATTGGCCTATGATGTGGGTCTTTGTGAATATGATCTCTATTCGTGAAATTATGTTTAGATTAGATTGTATTGATGTTTCCTATGATTATCTATACTTATTCATGTTGAATTGTTGGTATATTGATGAGTTGAGAATTATGGCCTTATGGGCAAAGTTATGGGTTGATCCATTTGTTTCTAGAATTGTACTTAGATTATGTTTATGTTATTGAATTACATTGTTGATTCCTATTGCTATCTATGTCAATTGATTTTGAATTGTTGAAGATTGATCCATGGTGATCATGGCTTGGAGAATTGATATGTTGACCTAACTTCTAGTCTATAGTATGAGAATTGATGTTGTGTGGTTTGATCCACTTATGGTGGAGGTGTTCACTTCTTGTCTATCTATGCATGTTGAGATCATGGCCTTGAAGGCAATAGATGTGAAGTGAATTGATGATTATGATGCATATGTTTATGAGGTTGTGCTATGAAGGTTATGTATGAAATCCTCAATGATAGAATGATGTTTAAAGTACGTTGATGAGGAGGAGTATAATGTGAATGATAATGTTAGGGATAAGGTGTGGTCTATATGATTGATCATGTTAAGTACTATTATGGAATGACCCCTACCTATATGACCCCTATATGAATGTGTGATCATATAAATGTTAGGAGTACATATTCAATGTTGAATGTGTCCTTGTCTCCTATGATGAAGTGTGGGTGTGTGGTCTAGAATCCCTAAAGGCGTTATATGTGAATTGCTTATGATTTGGGGACATTGTGAATGTGTTGTGATCCCTTGAAGAGAAGTGCACTCAATATCAATGTTGTTTCTATTATGTCACTATGAGGACCAATATGTAAACACATACACTCTACATGTATAGCTATGAATATGATGTGTTATGGTGTCAATTGAAAGGTTAACTCTTATATGCACCCTTACATCTTATTATGCATGCAAAATGTATGATTAGCAAGGTATGAATATATGTTGTAGAAATGTGTTTATGTGAAAGGCTTTCTCATATATGTACACACACACGAATGAATGAATAAGGTTTATGATAATCTAGTGAAAGGGAGTCTCTTGAAAGGTTTTCAATTGTACTCTAAACTAGACTATGTTATGAATATGGTATGACTATGTGAAAGGTCATTCTCACATAATGTAAGTTCTATGATGAAAGGTCATTCTCATCTTAAAAACCTTTGAGCTATATGATATGAGAGATTAAGTCCCTAAAGCCTATTTTATGTACTAATGTTAAATAAAGGCTTAAAGATGTTTAAAAAGGGAGTTGGAGCTTAGCACCGAGTGAACATGAAAAATGACAGTGGGTGCTTCACGTTTAGCAAGTCCGGCTTCCCACAAAAAGAACCTTCACGTTTAGCAAGTCCGGCTTTCCAACATAGATGTTGTCTCATGAGATGGAAACCTCCACACTTAGTAAGTCAAGGTTTTCTAGTAGCAATCTCCTTGTTCCATAACTACGTGCCCCCGTAGGTCTTAGCTTAGTGGATCCACTAGATAGCTATTATGTATGTAGGTCCTTCTTTGGTGAGTAATACCCTCTCTTTTCGGTGTGGGAGTGAAACACCGGATTCCATGTAGCTCACATGGTCTATGTCGGTTATGGCAATGTCTCCCGAAAGTTAAGAAATGAACTAAGATAAGAATATGAACTCTAGTCATGATTTCTCGAAGAGTTACTTAGTGTAGGTAGAACTATGGACCCTACTTATGCATTGCATAAGTGGACTCTAAGTGAGTTTATGATTAGGCTCTTTATGTAATGAAGACTATGGTCTATGTATGTTAACATGAAAGCATGTTAAGGTTGACTTTACTTACGTCAAGACATGAAGTATGATTATGCATTTGAATTACACTTATGACTTCTTGATGGGTTTGCTTAGTATATGTGGGGGTATGGGATTCCATGTGTACATTGCACAAGTGAGCTTGTGAAGGGATTGTGAGGGTGGTTTACCTATGATATGAACTCAATGGGTTATGACTAATAATGTAGTAAATGAATGAGTTCTAATATTATTGTATGAAGTATGTTGGTCTTATGTCTAATGTTAAATGAAGATGTTATGACTTGTTGAATATGATGTGCCTAGTCTATGGTGGCTTCCTAGGAACACTTGGTGTGAGTAGTATTATGGGATGTTACTTGCACATTGCACTAGTTGTCTTAGGTCATGGTTCCTATGTGAAGACCTTTTTTTTATGGTGTGCTTATCACT